TTTACTAAGTCAGTGAACGGGATCGATAATTACACATCAAAGGTTGAATTTCTGGTGGAGTAGTCATGATTGGGTCTTGTTAGAAAAACATGTAGGTATTTACCAATTAAGAAAATAGTTTCTAGAATATACGAAGAGGGAAGAGTAAAAATCCCGTGATATTTGAAGTAGCTTCTACAATGTGCTATTCTTCTGAGTCCAAGAAGATACCGTATTGCTCTTTTTTGTAATTTAAAAATAACATTAGATTGGGCAGCTGTACTAGAACCGCAAAAAGGAAGGCCATATCGAAGATGAGACTCGAACAAAGAAAAATATGTTATTGGAAGATGCTAAATTGATTTCCTCTAAAACAGATCTTATTGCATAGCAGGCTGAGACTAGTTTATTACTTAACAAATTGATATAAAGGAACCATTTAAGGTTGTTGTCTGTAAAAAATACCATGAAATTTTACAGAATCAACGATACTGATCCGGCTATTATTAAGAAGCAAGGGTTGAAGAGCTCCTTTATAGGATAATGCTACTGTCTTATTCACGTTAAAAGATAGTAAATCAGAGTCGGACCAGGTATTTATTTTAAGTTGATCAGAAGTTATAATTGCATGAAGAGTTGCAATATAGAGTTCCTCTAGGTAATACTGGTATCATCAGCAGAAAGAAAAATTCATCGCTGCTAGACATGTCTTCAACGGTTTTATTTCTAAAACATACTCTTAATTAGATAATCACAATCCTTGTTTTTATAAATTAAACTAAAAACTCACTTTTTATAAATATTACGTGGAACATATGAAAAAGTATTATCACCAAGTAACAACTCTACAGTTTCAGTTTCTGATGCTGTAATGGTGCTCGAAGATGCGTTTTCTGTATCTATATTTTCCTTGTTGTCTTCATTGTCATTTAAACATCTAGAATATTCAATTTATGTACATTAAAGAAGAGTATTAAAATTTGTTTAAGATTGAAATAATCTCATACAAAATATAGCCAAAACTCACCTCCTTTATAATAGTTTAGGTGAATTAGATTTTACATTAAAGCCCAAGTCTGTCTCCATATTACATTCTTCAGTATCAATAAAACTTCTAAAATATTTTAATATTAAAATGAAATAAGTAATCAAAATCCACATTTAGATTTTATTTGTAAATTTAATAAACAAATTCGATACAAACCCACCCTTTTGAAGGTCCATAAAAAATCATCCTTATCAATACTACTGGAAGCTGTTGCTTTATTTTCCATATCGTTTGTAGAACTAAAACATTGAATTATTAAAAAAAAAGACATGCTATCAATATTATGGAATATGCTACGAGTACCTATGCATTATATTTGGTGAAATTTAATTTTCGTACAATGAACATAACCTATAGATATGTATATATTTCATTGAAATTAATATATTTATAGCAATTATAGTGTAGATTAGAAAAAATAAATAAATGTATTTATAATACTACAAAATTAAACTTCAATTCATGTCAAGCATTAAGTATTATCACATCCCTGTACTACGCCTCTGGACATAATTACAATGCTTTTTAATACTTACGAATGAAATGACAGTTCTGGATGTAAATATGAAGTTTTCCTGCATACAACACAGTTACGCACCATTATTACACTTAACTATCAACTATTCTTCACTTCTAATTTAAAATATATTAACAAATTCACTAAAATGTCACAAACAAGGAAATTATCAACTCAAAGGTAAACAATACAACGCCATATTCCTTTGCGTCAAATCGATAGGATTGGTTGATATTACCAATGATGCCAAGTTTTACAAAAGTTAAGATTATCAGAATATATTTTCTTTTAATAAATTAAAAAATTAATTTTTTTCTTTTAATTCCTTGGTTGCGAAATGAGTATATCTAAAAATAGTTTATACTAACTAGATAATACATTTTTACTTATAGATTAAAAATAAATTACACTAAAAATCGAAAATTATTTCGAAGATTGACTCGGAAAAAAAAATAATATGACAACGTCAAATTAGGGATTTGTGCCTATGACTGTGAATATCTCATGACTTCAAGTATAGATGTAAACAGACCGGTCCATCTTTATTTATACGTCCATGACACACACATTCTCCTAATTCAAATAACAGTCATTCATTGTAATCTTTCTTTAAGGTAAATTTAATGTATCTCTTAAACCAAATATTGGTGAGTTGTTAAGACCTACCACGATGAGTACCGCTTTGTTCCTGCAAAATCAAACCAAATTACGTGGTATGACGGAACATTCCAAAGCCATACCCAATTGTGTTCCAGACATTGAAGAAAAAATAAAGGAATGTACAAATTTAGGGCCTTGCGATCGTTCTGATCCAAAATACTTTAGGTAAAGTATTTTTATTTCGAAAACAAGACTATAAGAATTATTGTAATCGCACGTTATCTTGTAGGTTTGGAGGACAAACGATGACCTCTTCATCTTTAGTTCTTGTATCTATTGAATGCAGTGAAGAATCTACAAATGTAATAGTTAATTGTGAAAATATTGTATTTGGTTCTGTTATGCTCAACGAATTGATAACCATACTCTCTTTATAATTTGGTATTGTTCCAATGTGAAAAATATAAAATTATATTTCTTTCAAAATACATAAACTATACTAAATTATTAGTTTTTTAAGTTAATTTTTTGTATTAATTCATAGTTCATTTAAGTATATATATTTATGTATAAATTTTTTTATTTATTGTATTAAATTATCAGTTAATTGTTTGATTTTTATTTTCTAAGAGACAAACAATATACCATGTATATTGTTGTCTCTCTTTTGTGTCACCTTTTCAAGGCGTTCGAAAGAATTATAATGAACTGGATCGCTGAATCTGTGGACACTAAAATTATTCCTGAACAAGCAGGGTTTAGATCCGAAAAATGCTGCTGCAGTCAAACTCTTAATCTCACCCAACATATTGAAGATGGGTTTGAACGGAAAGAAATAACAGGAGTAGCGTTCACAGAACTGACTGTCGCCTATGACACAGTTAACCATCAACGGCTGCTGGTAAAACTCTACGAAATTACAAAGGATTTCCGACTAACAAGGTTAATGAAATGTCTTCACCAGAATAGACGCTTCTACGTAATGCTCCAGTCCAAGAACAGTCGGTGGAGGGATCAAAAAAATGGACTCCCACAGGGAAGTGTCCTCGCGCCATTGCTATACAACATTTACACTAACGACCAACCCAAAAACCAACAAACAAGACAGTTTATTTACGTGGATGATACAGCTATGGCAGCTCAGGGAAGTTCCTTCAATTAAGTCGAAGTAAAACTGACAGATGCCCTAGAAGTCTCAGCACTATACTATGACGAAAACCATCTGAAACTCAATCCTACAAAAACTCAGGTGTGTGTGCTTTCCACCTTAGAAACAAGCATGCCCGAAGGACACTTGAGGTGAAATGGCGTGGTTACATGATGGAAAACAATTAGAAACCAAAATTCCTCGGCGTACGTCTGGATAGAACTATTTCTTATCGATGTCACTGTCAAGATATTCCAGAAAAAAGTAAGCGCCAGAAATAATATCATCCGCAAACTAACAAACATAAAATGGGGAGCACAACCACACACTCTCCAACTTCTGCCTTAGCATTATCTTTTTTTCCGCCGAGTTTGGAGCACCGGTGTGGGAAAACTCCGCTCACGCTAAAAACGTCGATGTTGCGTTAAATGAAACGGTTCGTATAATATCTGGTTGCCTGACACCTATCGAAGAGGTCTACCCTATGGTTGGAATCGCTCCACCTGCTATCCGAAGACAGGTAACCTCAGAGATAAAACGAAAGAAGCAGGAGACGAATCGAACACACTCCTTGTATGACCACCAAGTTCAGCCAAATAGATTAAGATCTCGGAAAAGCTTTCTGAAAAAATCACGATCCCTTCTCGAAGCGGCAAAGTTGCGCCGAATACACCTATGGCAAACGTCAGCTACAACACTTTTTGCTCTCTCAGAGGAAATAGCCGCTGGACGTAATTTGCCGTATCCCACATGGAAAGCGCTAAACAGACTAAGAAGTGGCGTTTAACATTGTGCTAGTAACCTGAAGAAATGGGGATACCAGGAGGAGGATACTTGCGACTGTGGCGCGGTTCAGAATAGTCACCATCTACTATCATGCACAGAGATGAGAGAGACCTGCACACAAGAAGACCTATTTTTAGCGAATGACAGGGCCATCTATGTGGCCAAACATTGGAAGCACAAAATTTAAAAGCTGTTGGTGTTTCGGACACGGAAAGTAAAGTAAGTATCAGAATGTCGTTTCTTTGTACGTTTTTAAAAGCCTCTTTTAGTTGCTCGTAGAAGTCTAATTTGTCTTCATGACTTGCATCTTCTGTTGGAGAGTAGACTTTTATTATTGACATATTGGCTTGTGTGTTCTACATTTTGATGTATGAGATTCTTCCACTAACTGCTCTGAAATCCATGACCCTGTTTCTTAGTTTTTTATCGATCATAAATGCAGTTCCATTTTTCCCTGTTTATTTTCTCCAGTTTAGTAGTGTGTGAAGTCTTATTTCCTGAAATTCTAAGATAACTAGTTCATATTTTCTCATCTTTTAAGCTAATTCCTGTATTTTCCACACTATTAGCATAGTTTCATATTCCAAGATCCTATTTTTACTTTTATTTGGTATGTTTCGAATTTCAGTTTTCCCAATTTCTATTTCTCGAGTTATCTGTATTCACGTCCTTTTTCTTCCCGGTCTGTTTCTCAGCGCTGTCCTTTCTCTTGTATTAGTTCTAGTTTTTCTAGTGTGCGGACAGAAGAAAAAACTTTTCCTTTAATTTTTAGTTTGGAAAATCATATTTTAACTGTTTTTGCATTTTACCTTTCTTCATATGCTCTGTCTTATACTTTCTTGCATTTTCTTTCAATTTTTACTCAGGTCATGGTTTATATATTTTTTAATTTGAATAAAATAAAATTGTATATTAATAAAAATAACTTTTATTAAAATAGTATAAAAATACATGAGTTTTATTATTTACAATTACCAACTACATTATAAGAAGGATATTTACAAGCATAATCCAAAAACTAATAAAATATAAATTATTCCATTTTTGAAAAATTCCAATCTCATCGGTATTGGGATCCATTAGCATCCCTAAGAAAACTAAATGCACAACAGTGGTAAAAGAAAACAGTAATCGGCACATCCACGAAAAGATACTGTTTCTTTTAAAACGGTGACGGCATGGTTCTTTACAGGGATACACGTTAATGCAAGAATTGAATGCTTTTGCAAATTGACCCTAACAGTAAACTGAAGATAGGAAAATATTCCTATAGATATTAACACCACAGATACTTTCAGCTCAAATCCATGTAGTAAAGATGATACTATAAATGTTGCCAATATTGCAAAGAATTTACCGTGAGGCAGCCAAGACCTGTAAACATCTGAAAAGAAAAACTATTGTTAATAACGAAAATAATAACAGAATTATTGTACAGATATTTTACGCCGTACTTTAATAGAACAACTTTAATTTGACATAGGGGAAGGTGAGGTAAAATGGTGCCCCTAGCGGCCTACCAATGACGTCAGCCGCGGTGAAAAATACTTAAAACATTCGTCTAATGCGCCTTGGCTTGTACTTCGAACGCGCAGTAGTTCAAACACCCGACCTCGTGCTCGGACCAAAATATGTATTTGACAGGTACCTGATGTAATTTTCGGGTCCCACGTTTTAAGCTGTAACTTTCGTTTTAAAACAAGTTTTTGAAATAATTTTTGAACTCAGATGATGTGTAGTGCCCTGCGCATAATGCGAATACGTTTTTTTGAGTGAACCAACTCATATTGAGCATACAAGGTAAGTTTTTTTAAACAGCATGTGGGGTAAAACGGGAAATAACCGGGTGAGGTAAAATGGGATATCCCGTTTTACCCCTTATGTAAAAATTCTGTCAAAATCATAACTTTTAAAAAAATAAAAGACTTTTAAAAGCAAGAAATATTCAAGCATGTTTAGGGTAATATAAGAATAAACTTAGAACAAACTGTTTTTGTTTCAGATGCCTAGAAATTACCAACGAAAGACTGAGCGTCAAAAATGGTCTGAAAAATCTATGGCCAGCGCTCTGGAAGCATTAGAAAAAGGAACTTGTGGATTTCTAAAAGCATCCAAAAAATATGGAGTTCCAAAATCAACATTTAAAAGAAGAACTAAATCCGCATGTTCGGTTGTACAACTCGTTCCATCCGTAGCTTAGCATATCAGATGGCAGAGAAAAACAACACATCAAACATCATTTCAACAAAAAACCCAAGTTGGCTGGGTGGGAATGGCTTCGCGCTTTTTTTGTTAAACGGAATAAACTTTCGCTCTGTTGCCTGAAGCAACATCAGCTGCACGTGATCGAGGTGTCCCAAATTGACTACTTCCCTAGCATACTATAAAGAAATATGTACGTTTACAATTTTGGAATCCATTCTTTTAATAATAATAATAATAATAATAAGTTAGTAACAACCGGAAATGCGACAATATACTTTTTGAGAATTCAGAGAAGGCTTTCTATAGAAACTAAATTCCACTGTAGAAAATGTAAATAAATCCTACCCAAGCCATGAAGAAATTCATGAGTTTTGGGGAAATCAACTTTCGACGCCAGCTACCCATAACAACAAGCTGGATGGATTGAAGACACCACGAACAAATGTCAACACTACAGGAATATTCCTTATGAACCTTTCACCACTGAAGAAGTCTCGAACATTATCAAAGAGCTTCATAACTGGAAATCTCCTGGACCGGACGGAGTTCAAAACTTCTGGCTAAAGAAGTTTTGGAGTGTTCATGAGCTTTTAACAGTATTTATTAATAATATTATTTCTAATTCACAGGAAATACCATCATTCCTTACTCAGGGAACCACCTATCTAATACCGAAGGATCAAAATAACACCCAAGATCCAGCCAAGTACCGCCCAATTACTTGTCTTCCAACTTTGTACAAATTGGTCACATCCTGTGTGGCCCGGCGTATCTACCAACACTGTGCTCTGAACAATATCATAGAGCCCCAACAGAAAGGATGCGCTAAGGGCTCCATGGGATGCAAAGAACAACTTATTATCGACTCAGTCATTTCTAACCAGGCATACACCAAAAAAAGAAACCTTTTTACTGCCTTCATTGACTACAAGAAGGCTTTTGATTCAGTGCCGCATGAATGGCTTATAGATATATTGAAAATATATAAAGTCGATGATAATCTCGTGACCTTTTTGAAGCATATAATGGCAGAGTGGAAGACTAAAATTCACCTTCAAATACCTGGTGAAATTAATATCGAAACTGAAGATATCCCTATTAACCGGGGCCTTTTCCAAGGGGACTCGTTGAGTCCACTTTGGTTCTGCCTAGCGATGAACCCACTATCTCAGCTGCTGAACTCTACTGACTCAGGATTTAGCATCAAAAATAACAACACCGTTGTAGCGAAACTTAATCATCTGTTGTATATGGATGATTTAAAATTATTGGCTTCCACCCGAAATCACCTAGATGAGATGCTAAAAAACTGTAGAAAATTTCTCAAATGACATCAGTATGCATTTTGGACTAGACAAGTGCCGTATACTAAATATAGTCAGAGGAAAGGTTCAGCCTGGAGGTTTCGATATGCAAGATGGCCAAAACATCGAGGCAATGGGTGAAAATGATATGTACAAATATCTCGGAGTAAAACAGGCACGTAAAATTGACCATAAACAAATGAAAACGGAACTAACTTCGGAGTTCGTGCGAAGAGTAAGACAACTAAATCGGTCATATCTTAATAGTAAAAATTTGTTTAAGGCATTAAATACGTACGCCTGTTCTGCACTGAGCTACTCATTTGGTATTATAAAGTGGTCAAAAACGGATATAGAGGGTCTTCAGCGGAAAGTAAGAACACTTCTCACAAAGGCGCAAAAACATCATCCACGTAGTGCAGTAGAGAGAACAACATTACCGCGGTATCAAGGGGGAAGAGGACTTATGGATATAGGTGAGCAATTAGATAAACAAATTGCTAATCTAAGACTTTATTTTCAGGTACAGGCTGAGACATCTACTTTACATCGAGCAATTTGCGCAGTAGATGATACGACGCCGCTTAAACTGAGGAACAAGAAATGCGCATAAACCACCTGACTCAGCAAGAAAAAATGCGCACCTGGATGAGTAAACCTCTGCATGGGCGACATCTCAATGAGATCAACCAAGAATATGTCGACAATACAGCGTCGAACTATTGGTTGACATCAGGAAAGATGTTCCCCGAGACTGAGGGTTTCCTACTTGCCATTCAGGATCAGGTTATTCCAACTAAAAATTACCTGAAGTATATTGTTAAAGATCCTCAAGTCCAAAATGACAAATGCCGATATGGATGCCAAGCCCAAGAAACCATCCAACATCTTACCGGTGGCTGCCAGGCATTTGTCGGTACTGATTATAAAGAACGCCATGACTCAGTAGGAAAGATTATTCACCAAGAACTAGCTGACAAACTGGGACTTCTCCATACCGACCATCTTCCTTATTATCAATACGCTCCTGATAGAATGCTTGAAAATGACAACTACAAGCTATACTGGGACCGCACTGTGCTTACAGACCAACCAGTGGCCCATAATAGACCGGATCTCATACTAGTTAATAAACTTACTAGACAAACAACACTTATTGATGTGGCGATACCCAACACCAATAATTTAGTTGTTAAATACAACGAAAAGATCGCCAAGTACAGAGATCTAGAAATACAAATCAGGAGACAATGGAGAATGGAAAGTACCCAGACACTACCTATTGTTCTATCTACTACTGGTGTTATTCCCAAAAACCTCCTAGCGAACATAAAACAGCTGGGTCTAAATGAACATCTTTATAAGGCCATGCAGAAAGCTGTACTCCTCGCGACGTCCAGATGTGTACGAAAATTTCTGGGAGATACTCCAATATACCAAGTCACCTAGGGCTCGATAACATGGAAAGAGTCCCACCAGAGCTCAATCCTTTTGATACCGTAGGTATCTGGGATGAGTGAATTTTCCCCTTAGAGGGAGTGTGAGCCGTATGGCTAAATCTATAATAATAATAATAATAATATAATACCATCATTCCTTACTCAGGGAACCACTTATCTAATACCGAAGGATCAAAATAACACCCAAGATCCAGCCAAGTACCGCCCAATTACTTGTCTTCCAACTTTGTACAAATTGGTCACATCCTGTGTGGCCCGGCGTATCTACCAACACTGTGCTCTGAACAATATCATAGAGCCCCAACAGAAAGGATGCGCTAAGGGCTCCATGGGATGCAAAGAACAACTTATTATCGACTCAGTCATTTCTAACCAGGCATACACCAAAAAAAGAAACCTTTTTACTGCCTTCATTGACTACAAGAAGGCTTTTGATTCAGTGCCGCATGAATGGCTTATAGATATATTGAAAATATATAAAGTCGATGATAATCTCGTGACCTTTTTGAAACATATAATGGCAGAGTGGAAGACTAAAATTCACCTTCAAATACCTGGTGAAATTAATATCGAAACTGAAGATATCCCTATTAACCGGGGCCTTTTCCAGGGGGACTCCTGAGTCCACTTTGGTTCTGCCTAGCGATGAACCCACTATCTCAGCTGCTGAACTCTACTGACTCAGGATTTAGCATCAAAAATAACAACACCGTTGTAGCGAAGCTTAATCATCTGTTGTATATGGATGATTTAAAATTAATGGCTTCCACTCGAAACCACTTAGATGAGATGCTAAAAACTGTAGAAAATTTCTCAAATGATATCAGTATGCATTTTGGACTAGACAAGTGCCGTATACTAAATATAGTCAGAGGAAAGGTTCAGCCCGGAGGTTTCGATATGCAAGATGGCCAAAACATCGAGGCAATGGGTGAAAATGATATGTACAAATATCTCGGAGTAAAACAAGCGCGGAAAATTGACCATAAACAAATGAAAACAGAACTAACTTCGGAGTTCGTGCGAAGAGTAAGACAATTAAATCGGTCATATCTTAATAGTAAAAATTTGTTTAAGGCATTAAATACTTACGCCTGTTCCGCGCTGAGCTACTCATTTGGTATTATAAAGTGGTCAAAAACGGATATAGAGGGTCTTCAGCGGAAAGTAAGAACACTTCTCACAAAGGCGCAAAAACATCATCCACGTAGTGCAGTAGAGAGAACAACATTACCGCGGTATCAAGGGGAAGAGGACTTATGGACATAGGTGAGCAATTAGATAAACAAATTGCTAATTTAAGATCTTATTTTCAGGTACAGGCTGAGACATCTACTTTACATCGAGCAATTTGCGCAGTAGATAATACGACGCCGCTTAAACTGAGGGAACAAGAAATGCGCATAAACCACCTGACTCAGCAAGAAAAAATGCGCACCTGGATGAGTAAACCTCTGCACGGGCGACATCTCAATGAGATCAACCAAGAATATGTCGACAATACAGCGTCGAACTATTGGTTGACATCAGGAAAGATGTTTCCCGAGACTGAGGGTTTCCTACTTGCCATTCAGGATCAGGTTATTCCAACTAAAAATTACCTGAAATATATTGTTAAAGATCCTCAAGTCCAAAATGACAGATGCCGATATGGATGCCAAGCCCAAGAAACCATCCAACATCTTACCGGTGGCTGCCAGGCATTTGTCGGTGCTGATTATAAAGAACGCCATGACTCAGTAGGAAAGATTATCCACCAAGAACTAGCTGATAAACTGGGACTTCTCCACACCGACCATCTTCCTTATTATCAATACGCCCCTGATAGAATGCTCGAAAATGACAACTACAAGCTATACTGGGACCGCACTGTGCTTACAGACCAACCAGTGGCCCATAATAGACCGGATCTCATACTAGTTAATAAACTTACTAGACAAACAACACTTATTGATGTGGCGATACCCAACACCAATAATTTAGGTGTTAAATACAACGAAAAGATCGCCAAGTACAGAGATCTAGAAATACAAATCAGGAGACAATGGAGAATGGAAAGTACCCAGACACTACCTATTGTTTTATCTACTACTGGTGTTATTCCTAAAAACCTCATAGCGAACATAAAACAGCTGGGTCTAAATGAACATCTTTATAAGGCCATGCAGAAAGCTGTACTCCTCGCGACGTCCAGGATGTGTAAGAAAATTCTTGGGAGATACTCCAACATACCAAGTCACCTAGGGCTCGATAACACGGAAAGAGTCCCACCAGAGCTCAATCCTTTTGATACCGTAGGTATCTGGGATGAGTGAATTTTCCCCTTAGAGGGAGTGTGAGCCGTATGGCTAAATCTGGGATAATAATAATAATGGGTACATGCATTTCTGGGACGAAACAGAAGGAGGGTGGGGATCTCAAGAAGTAGCATCTATGCTGGCTAAACACATTAGACAAGAGGCTAAAAACCATAAACATGTTATCCTCTACTCTGACTCTTGCACTGGTCAAAACAGAAATATTAAAGTTGCTTCTACCTTAAGGAACTTGCTCCTTGATCCTCAGTTAAGCATTAAAACAATCGATCATAAATTTTTGGTTTCTGTTCATTCGTTTTTACCTAATGGCCAAGATTTTGGAGTGATAGAATCAGCATCCCGAAAGTGTATTCAGATATTTACACCTGAAGATTGGATGCATGTAGCCAAGTCTGCAAAGATCTTTCTGAAGGCAGAAATTTTATCTACGAAAAAACCTTGAAAACATAATAGTCAACAGAAAAAAAAACGGAGGATGATGATCCTATAAAGTGGTTAGAGATGAGATGGATGAAGTTTGAGCGAGAGGGACCCTGCATACTGCAGTTTAAAAATACTTTAAACAAAGATTTCGACTTTTTGAAAGTAAACATGTCTACGAAAATTTCTCAATTTATTGAAAAGCAAGACCCGTTATACACAACTGAGAGAGTGGTCACTGAGGCAAAGTAAAAGAACATGCTTAGTCTTTTACCATTTTTACCCTTAAATACCCACACCCACTTTAAAAATCTTCAGACAGAAAATATTTACCAGGTCACAAACTTCCCAAAAAAACGGACGAAGAATCAGGTTATGATGAACCCATTTTTGATTACAGCATTTAAAGTGCAATTTTAAAACTTTTTTAAAAAGTCTATGCTACAGAGGTAAATTCACGCCAAGAATTGGAAGAAAGAATTCAACGTCAAGTTAATGACATCATAGCTGATCCCCTACCGTTTAGAGTTTAGAAGGTTAGTGGAATCTTTAGAATAAAGAATAGACGTGTGTATATCCGAAAACGGAGGGCATTTTGAACACTTACTGTAATTGAATTTTAATTGTATTTAATTTTCTTCTTGTGAGTTTTGTTTAATTACTATTTTATACCAGCATGAATTATTACTTCATAATTTTCAAATCAAAATATTCCGAAAACGGTACACAGTATCGAGTTTTACCAAGAGTACCTTTTGTAAAATTGAATGATGTTTAAGTTTACTTGAAATTTTGATTAATAATTATACTCTTAAAAAAATTATATTGACTAATACTTAGTACGATCCGTGTAACTAGCGCCCTCTATGAGAATCAGATATAAAAACAAATTCATGGGATGTATCAGCTTCCAAAACATATTCGTATAAAATTTCATTACAATGTTGCCAGTAGTTTCGGCAAAATCGTAAAAAATGCGTAAATTTTTTTTCTTCAACGCCCTGTATCTTGAAAACGGATGGCGTTACAAACATTTTTTTACTAAGCAAACTCCAATTATTTTTCAGTTGTTTACCTACCCTAGAGACGGGGTTACCTTTTTTGAAACACCCTGTATTTAAGTTAGTGTTCGTACTATAGCTAGAAAGAAAAATTAATCTTTAAAACACTTTTGTGTTCAACTAGTCTTACCTAAACTTTAATCTTCATTATCTCAGAACTATAATTTATAGACTTAATACTTTAGCCCCGAGCGCCTCAATTGGCCCGCAAAGAAAATTGTGTTTTATTGAAGTGTGTGAAAACCTAGACCTTGAAGGTTGCACATTGGCTCCCAACTTTCGGAGGTAGTTATATTGTTACCCATTGGCACCCACCATTTCTGATGGGTCATTCAATGGTTAAAAAATAAAATATAATACTCTTACTGCCGGAAGATGCATTTTATCCAAGCTGGTTCTGTGCAAAGTTCGTGAGTTAGCAATCAACAGCTGGCGAAGACCGACAACCATGTGCGTTTATTTTCCATAAGAAAAGCATTGCCCTATCTTAGCCGTACTGCACTCTCAGTATGAATTTCACTAGACGTGTAGTATATTGTCCTTCATTGAAGTAGCCTTTAATAAAGACGACATTTATCTTACTCTTTCAATAACCCTTTAATTAAAAAAATTGAGTCTCTTCAAATTTTTTAACTTTTGACTTAGTTGTCTTCACACTGATCTACTAGAAACATTGTTGAATATACTTACATTTTTTTAAAAACTCATGCATTGGTCGATTCCATCTGGTAACAACAATGGCAAGAGCAGTTGGAAATTCTGTTTTAATTGGATCAACTACTTCGTACCTCCACTTCTTAGGTTCATGCCAAATTTTGGAACTCTTAAAACCAGCAGCTAACATTGAAGCTTCTGATAAAAAACTTATGAAGTAGTGGCTTGTTCTAAACGACATAGCTTCTCTGTAACTTATTAACCATCTGTTGGACTCATCTGGTATGAAATAAGTGGACCAGCAATTCGAGATCATCAGAAAAAATACTGATATTGTCAACGCTCGGATTATTCCTAATATCCACCAGATATTCTGAAATCAAGAAATAAAAATTCAAAAGTAGGCTAAAGTGCTTAATTTATTTATTAAAGATATATGAGTGGCTCAGAGCCAGATGTGCATATCCAACATAGTTGTAATTTTTAAATTACAACTCTGCAATTTTTTTTTCTAAACAAAAGCCACATATGCCTATACTTCAAATAAGTTTAGAACCCGTGTTGCCATCCATTAAAAATATTGCAAAACACGAATGTCACTTTCGTTAACCGCTATACAGAATTCAAGATGGCCGAGCCAAGAGTTGAGTGAGGTTGATTCTTTTTCCGACTTTCATGAAGAAGAAGAGGAGTATAAGCCTAGTGAAAGTGATAGTGGGACAACAGGTATGTACTTTGTATTATTCGCGATTTTTTAATAATATTTCTTTAAAAAACTGTATTATAATATATTGTTGTATAAGTTATTCTGGCTCTACATTATCATGCATTTTTCGAAGAAATTAGATTATTCACGATAGGCTTTAATTTAATTATTAAAGTTAATTTTTGTACCCCATTTTATTTGGGATAATGACAACGACCATGTGACATCTGAAAAGCCGTCCAACACTCGAAAACGGAAGTCAAATCCTAAGTTGTCCAAAAAGTTCGTAATAAAGCAAAAAGTTATGAAGGGGGAACACAACACAAGAAGGGGGAACATCCTAAATTTATATTCTGATAGTTGTGATGGGCAGAATAGGAATATAAAAGTCGTTTTAGGTCTTCTTAATGAAATGCAAAGAAGCAATGTAAAGGAAATAAATCTAAAATTTTGTTATCAAAATTTTGGTGTCATTGACAAGGGAAAAAAAATATCACGAAAATATATTAGTGCCAGACGACTGGATAAACGTAATAAACATCTCAAGAAAAAGGAGCCTAAATTTTGTACTCATAAAATGGAAAAAAAATTATTTTTCAGTACCAAAAAATTGGAGCACGACATTTATAGTGATGAGAAGGTCATGAATGAACCGTTCACAAAGATCTGATCTTTCCGAAGATTGATACAATCACATTCTGTGACCCTACCGTTCAAATGACGCTGTCTAGTGTTTACGAAAGAACTGTGTGATCGTGACACGTTGCTCGGTCAAATTAATGCATGAACAACGAACCGCCAAGGATCGTTCAAACGCTGATATACATTCGAATTGTCGAGTCAACAGTTCCGTAGTCTGTTCTGTTTATAAATTTGTAGGAAATAAAATCCATTTTAATTGTTGCATTATCATTCATTCATGAACATAACAATATGGAATTTGTAATTTCACTTAACTTTTTCAAGTATTTTTTTATATTTCAATGATTTCTGAAGATGATTTGAGAAATACAAATCTTAATTTCAGCCTTAAACTATATTTCATTCTTAAATTTATAGTAACAATATCGAATTCTACACGTAAACAACAATACAATTAAAGTCGTTCTAATTAAATAATCTCTATGAACGGGTCCTCCATTATCATTAATTCATATACTCTCAGAAAGATTCATAAACATATCAATATTAAACTCTAAACAGTAATTAGTAGTTCATATGAACGGATCTTTATGGACGGATCATTTTAATGAATGACCTGGAAGACCCGGGTAACCGAAACGAACCAGATCTTCCCATCACTACATTGTAAATTGAAAGAAAGCAATTACAGGAGAAAAAGCAGAACGGTTAAAAATATCCTGGATTCAGATACGACAATCTGAGCCGAGAAAAAGTATTTTAAATATAGATTGAAAGCTAAATAAATTTTCCACACGCCTGCCACTATAAAATACAGGGTGCTTCATTTAAAATAAGTACGTTATTACAGATAAAATAAAAAGTCATCAAGAAATAATACTGTTAGGAGACCTAAATGCCAGAGTAGGTTCTCAAATTAGACGATGACGTGATGGAACGGCACGGAGAAATAGTTAAGAATGGTTCAGGAGACAGCTTAATTGAGTTCTGTCAACTTTTTGGTTTAAAAATAATGAATACCCAATTCCAACATAAAGATATTCATAAATACACTTGGGAACGACCTTCACTCCAATAAGTGCCAAGACTGCAGAGTAAAAAGAGGCTATAACTGTGGGCCAGATCATTACTTTCTTTTAGCTAATCTTTTGGAGCTCTTTAAACAATATTAAACATTTGTATTGTTATTATTATTGTTATTATATTAAATATTTGTTATTATATTAAATATTTATTGTCCATCTTTAAAAAGGGTAATCGAAAAGATCCTAACTGCTACAGAGAATTAAGTGTCCTACCTACTTTCGGAAGATGGTTTGGAAAGATAATAAATGGAAAAATACAAGATGATGTAGGACATCTAATTAGCGAAGACCAAAGTAGATTTACGCCTGGTAGATCTTGCACTGATAACTTGTTTATACTCCAACAATTAATAGAAAAAAGAATAGCGGTTGGTGCTGAAGTAACCTTCATCGACCTAGAAAAGGCGTTGATACAGTTCCAAGACTTAAATTGTGGCAAGCTTTATAACAACTCGGCATTAGTCCATACCTTTTAGGGATAATCACAGAAAAATACAGGAATAACAATTCTTACCTAAAAATCGGAAATAGACTATCAGAGCCAATAAAAGTAACTAAAGGACTAAGACAAGGATGCAGTCACCCTTACTGTAAAATCGAAATAAATCAAAATATCCTGTACTTAGGTATAGGGAACCTATACCTAATATATACTATAAAAAATATAACTTTGATATACCACTCTTATTTGTCAAATTGTGGTGTTAATGGTCCTGTATAGCTCTATAAAGAAAAAAACTTTGGATATTAATTAGTTTTCTAGTACAGAGATCGAGGCGTATAGGATGGGCCACCCTGTATATATAGGAAGAGATAAGACTAATGATGTAAGATGTTAAGTAATGAAATAAAATAACTCCGAAATTAAAATAACGAAAATAAACAACAAATGGAAGCAGAAATAAGGGAAAACGAAAGGTAGAAGGAAATGTTAGGATTGCTTATAAATGTTACTTATAAGAACTTTAATGATATTAAACATAAAAATAAAAAATGTTTACCTTGTTTGTGGTCTGCTTATATAATGCTATATATTCATTAAATGATGTCCATGGTCCAAACATAACATTTGCTCCACAAAACATATAACCAAAATAATTTAAGAACGATGGATCTTTCACAGCACCTTTATCAATATCCTCAGCAAGTGAGATGAGTTTCATACTAAATATCATTATCACTCCTCTAGCTTCCATCCATGCTTCAGTCTTCAATAAGAAATATTCACTATAAAATATGTTTACACTCATAAATATAGTTATTTCTAAAATACTAACCATTTTTAGATTTTTAGAACTTTATGTACAATCTAGTTAATTTAGCCCTCTGTGAATCCGTTTATTTTAAAGATAAAACAAAATCGCAAAATGCAATATTAAAGCCTAATTATCTCTTAAATGGATGGTCCAAATTGTACAAAAATCGGGATATGCCTATTCTTCAAAATGGAGATTTCAAATTTTATACTTGAAATGTTGCTAGATTTACCATTTTTCTTATTCCATTAGTTACTTAGGTTTTTTAAATGCAACACTCTGTATATTGTATTATTATTGGAATCCCTACTTCAATACAAGTTTAACCATATAACACTTGGTATTTTATCTAGTCACGAAGGTCTTAAATAAATAAAACTTCTCATAGTTTTGAAATAATTCATTAAATACAGAATGCTTTGATTTTGACATAAATTCATAAAACTCTCAACAGCTTGAGATTTATTAAAAAGTTTTGGAAAATAAATTGTATTAATAACTAAAGCTGACAGTTGTTTTATGTGTCTTTTAAAGCTCTACTTTGAAAGTATGGACTTGGAGAAAGGAACGAAAGAGGGCAGAGACTAATACAGATCTGTCAAGAAGAGAATTGCATTATAGCAAATACTTTGTTTCAACAACCTAAAAGACGACTATATACCTGGAAATCTCCAGCTGATCAAGAAGGAAAGATAGTCAGAAATCCTCACCAAGGAAAATAGCGGAAATATAAACTTTATTATTGAACTTAATCATTTCAACAGAAAAATAGCATCAATTTCTGAAGTTTTAAAGGCAACTTTGGACCGTATAAAGAAAAAACTTGAAGAAAATTGTTACTAAAATCTAACTAAAGAACGTCACTACTCACACCAGCCATACAGAAAAAAAGGCTTCAATGGGCTAAAGATCATAAATATTTGATCATTGATGATTGGAATCAAGTAAATAACATTACTTAACATTGTTTTTCTTTTATGCAGTTTACAGTTCGTGATCAATTTGTCCGGAATCCTAAAATAATAATTCCAGGTTTGTTTTTCGGACGAATCTACCGTGCAGATCCTCATGGATAGAGCTGAATGTGTAAGGAGAAGACCTGGGGAATATACAAAGCGGATTGTCTTGGTAAGGGCGTAAAGCGCCCCCTGAGCATCGTGGTGTGGTATATTATAAGCAGTCAAGGGACTGGTAGTCTCTAAATTGTCGAAGAAACAATGCAGCGGGATCAGTACTTGAGAGTACTGTAAACAAAAATGTTTCCCCAGGTCCAGCAGTGTTCGCCTTGTCACAAGGCGAAAACTATTACAAAATTCCTTGCTGATAACCAGATAAAGGTGCTCGACTGCACTGGCAATTCGCCAGATCTGAATCCAATAGAACATCTTTTGAAACTCACGAAGAAAAAAATTTCTAATGAAATTATAACCACAAAGTGTCAATTGATCGAGCACTTAATAGCAGTATAGCACAGGAGTGGAATAATTCAACAAAATTGCCAGAAATGCATAGAAAGTATGCCAAGAAGGTGCCAGGCAGTCATTGCTGCAAATAGTAACACTAAGAAGTATTAGGCTTAAGACATAATTTTAAGTGTTTGCATGTAATTACTTGTTTCTTTTTTCATATGTTTGTAAACTTTATTAGGTTCTAAATCACTGTAGAATAGAATTAAGTACAACAATATGTTTTATAGTTCAATTACATACCATTGGGGTGGCTCTAATAATTTGATCACCCTCTGTAAATTGTATCGTCGTTTTCTTGAAACACGTCGATTACGAACTTTATTAAAAATATCTAAAATACTGAATTAGCTAACATGAAAAATTAATTAATTTGACAATCAACAACACAAGTGTCACATAACTCCCTTTGATATTTAAGAACATCAAGGGTTCAAGGGTGTGGCTATCACCTGATGATGTTTCATTAAAATACCGAAACTTTGATACCCTTAGATATTAGAACAAGTTTAAAAATCGATGTGTCCGAGCAATTTTGTTTTATCTTTAAAAATAAGTGCGTTGACAGAGGGGTAAGACTTTATCCTCTCACATACATCCACTCTCATATATATATATTATATATTATATATATATATATATAAATATATATATATATTATATATATATATATATATATATATATATATATGTCAAAAAGGTTATAAAAAAAACTATATCACATTAAAATATAGCCCAACAAATACATATAGTATTAAAATTCATTTAAAACTTATTGAATGCTCTGCTTTAACCTCCTGGATGTCATATATGTATATACAACATAAAAATCAAACATTTCTAGTGATGCCATCTTACGTAATTTATTCTAAACCTATCAACTAATACCATACTCTTAGTGTTGGGGACCTGTATAAGTAACTGTGAAAAATTTTAGGTTAAAACAGTGTATAACAAATGAAGCATGAAAGATGGCCTACCGTCCTCGTTCACGACGTAAGTATTCATAAAATATTAATGTGTTATATACTTTTTATACATATTTTTATATGTATTGTGTATCTAGATTATCTGTTTGTGCTACCCGATCTTTATTTTGTAAATTCATGAGGACATATTTTGAATGTAGTAGGTAGTAGTTTTATGTGATATAGGTATTACGTGGGGCCTCAACCTTTATTGCTAATTTTATTTTATATCATATAGGTATTACATAGGGTCTTAATGTATACGAGCACTAACAATTTTGTAAGATTTTCAACAACGTAACAAATGTATCATTTGTTACGGCACTAATTCAACAAGAACTTGAAGAGCTTCTTTACGAATCATATCTAAACCTTTCCAATGAAGAAGACCCCTTATTTGTACCGCCAAAATCAGATAACCACAATTCTGACTACATAAATTCTTCAGATAACTTGGATACCTCAGATTCTCTCGGAGTCAGTATTACCACTCTTATCGTCACTAACACAAGAAACATATACGTCTCGTAGATCTATCAAAGTAGGTTGTAGTTGTGGTGCCAGAACAAGAGTAAGACGTAGTGGAGGTCGCCGTAATGGTACTCAAGTACCACTATCAATTTTAACTGATGCATGGACCGGTAATTTTTCTCCCCTAAAAAGTTTTCTCGGGAGAACCTGTAACTCCTAGAGAGCGCCCCCCAGGTGGCGGATAGGGGAATGCTCGACCCGGTTTACCGGTGGGTAGGAGTGAAATAAGTGGACCAACAGATAATTCACCGAATGATTGGGAAGGCAACGGGAAACCACTGCATTAAAAACTCATGGAGTATCCCTAGAAATCGTCATGTCTTACAGAAATGACAATCAATAACCTACTAATCATGGTTCTCGGATGCCAAGATTCGACAGGGGAAGAAACAACAGTAACGGCAGGGTTTCGCAGGCCGTTAGCCAGTGAAATCCCTGTTCACTAAATATATACAAATCCATCTGCAAAACCGCTACATGGAATGTAAGAAGTATGTATGAACCTGGGAAACTGAGGAATATACAGCAAGAGATGATGCGACTGGAGATCGATATATTAGGAATAAGCGATACAAGATGGGTCAGCTCCGGCGAACTCAATACAGCAGACAATGGACGAATTTATTACTCTGGAAGCAGCGACACTCAACACAGATAAGGAGTTACTATGATCATCAGTGAAAAAGTAATGAGATCAGTAATGTTCGAAAGAATGACAACTGCTGACAAAAATAAAGAAGAAATAGAAAACTTTTATAGCGAACTTCAAAAAACATTACATCTCACAGCATCTAGAGATATAACAGTGATCATGGGTGATTTCAATGCAAAAATTGGCGAAGGAAAATGCTACTCTAATGTAAAACCACATGTAGAACTAAAACTTGCTGATGTATTACTAGAAAAAGGTTTCCACGCAACAGGCAGGATTGTAAACAAGAGAGTCCCTCGGAATTGTATCTTTTCTCTAGCAAAACAGTTCATAAAAAATCTAAGAGGTACTTCTGAAACGAAGGTTCGAGGAGATGGAAGCAGGAAGATTGCCATAACTCGCTGGTTATACAACAAACCTGTTACGATTCTGTCAACATACCATGCTGCTAACAACCCAGATCAATGTAGAAGATGGTCAAAACGTAAAAAGGAATATGAAATGGTTAATACACCTGCGGTGATCAAGAACTACAATCAGTTCATGGGTGGAGTTGACCTTGTTGACAAAATGTTGGCGGTCTGTTCGGCACGAGCACGTACAAAAATGCGGACAATTCGCTTCATTAGCGACACGCTAGATTTAGCAGTTTGCAACTTTTGGTGTCAGTACAGAGCAGTACAAAAGGAAAAAGATGTACCAGCCAAAAACATACCTCAACTGAGATTATTCAAATTAGAAATGGAAGAATAAATGACTCAGTCTTTTAGAAATTGTTTTTTACAGCTTCATACCAAAGACCAATTTCTAATACATTGTTCTGTGTATAAAAATAATGAATAATAAAAGATTGCTAAAATATGAGTACTGTTTCTTTCTTATGTTTAAGTTTATTTTGGTAACAGATAAACCCAATGTCATATATATGACATTAAGAAAAGCCAGATTGCATTGCAAACTTTTTTGTCATTTTTTGCTCTACTGAATTCATTGGCAAATCTAGAGAACCATATTACTGGGCTGTGTATAATTGTAATTAGTGTTGTGGTGCAAAGAATTAGTGCGTGAAATATCATATAAGACATTATTCTTCGGTTTTCAAAGGTAAGAGGATTAAAATGTCTCAGGATATCACTATAAGAATAAGTATGAATGCTTGAATAAAAATCGGTGCTTAACGTTTTCAATGCTACTGAGATGAATTTTGAACTATGGGGACCATATACTAGATATATACTGCAGGATTGAACAAACCAAAGCATTGTAAACTATTTTTACCCAGTTCATTGATAGATGTTTAGAGTTCCTCATAAAACAAAACCAAGTATATAAAGAGCCTGGAAGTACAGGAGTACAAAGAGAAACTGGAAGTACAGGAGTAACAAGAAATATGACATCAGATGCATTATTGGAATTGATATCAGGTAAGGTATTAAGATGTTGTACATCTTCCATTGGTGTAAAGTTTTGGCTCTGGTTTTTAGTATTAACCCCTACTTACAAATTTGGGGCCAATGGTTTTACATGCCTTCTAAGCACTGGCTCAGTTAAATTAAAAATTTCTGGTGTATTTGCTAAGGCCCATCCCAATTGGTAAGCAAGTACCTAGCCACTGGAATATGGCTGCCACAAGATTTAAGCTTAGAACTTAAGAAAGACCTATTATCATCTGTATTCTGTTTTGTTGTGCTGTGTCAGATGAAATGGAGAAGATAACACTTACAAGCATTTGAACTCCGGGTACATAGAAGAATTCTTAAAATACAGTGAACCCATTGTCTCACAAAAGAGTAAATTCTCTCAAAGTAAAAATAGTGAAATGTGAACTATTGTTTATAATACAATGAATAAAACTGGAATATCTTGAGCCTATTATTATGAGGAATTAAGTAAACTACTGGTTATTAAGCAAGAAAACTAAACCTGAAAAAAATCTCCTAGTCTCTTAAATGCAAAAGAAGTTTGGAACAATTTCTGTGAAAAATCAGACAACAGATCTACAACAGCATAAAAGTAATTACAAATTGGTGCCAATAAAATTCAGAGATTTTGCTCTTTTACTATCCTATACTGTGATTGTTATCATATAATTTCTTAACCTTTTGCTCATACTTGGAAGAAAGACAACACAAACTTATTTTAGTTAAAAAAAAAAGTTATTTTCAACTTACCATACAATGAGTACTATTATCAATGTGTACTTCATGATATTCGATGTACTTAAATATCTAACTTTAGTTTTATTATAATACTGGTTACAATGAAAATGTGTTTGGATATAACTACTCGCTCGTAAAAGGAGATAAGATTTCATAAATATTATTAGTATTAAACATTTTCCTTCTAGAGATTCTAAGTTATTTATTAGATATATTCCAATTCCTCCAGCAAAAATATGATAGAGTGATGGTGGTAGTTTCACTAAAAATAGTATGAAATACAATGTATTTTAAAAACATTTTAGTTTCATGTATTGTTAGAAATACTTCTGACTTACCTACTGTGATTGTAATCCCAAAAAATAAATTGGTCAGTATTATTTTATACAAAATATGAAATATACTAAGCGCCGAAGGAATAACACAATATTCCCACACATCTTGACTTGTTTCTTCAAAATATGTATGGTCATATAAAAAATCAACAGGGCTGAAACACATTAGGTATTTAAAAACATAAATAAATAAAAAATCATATACTTACTTCTCATGTTCCTCCAATAGTGAAACGGACATTATGTATTAATTTACGAGATAATTTAAACATTTCAAAAATAGATGTGACGATGTGAGGTTAAAGAGTCATAAACCCAATAGTTTTTAACTTTAGTATACAATATACAAACAAAACACAGACTACGGTCGGTGCTACAGCCACCCTTTGGTAGTGGTAATTATCTATCTATCAGTCAGGCGACACTCCTTTGAAGTTTCGTGGCCAAGCCGCCAATGACAGTTGTTAAACAACCAGAAAACTAATAGTCAGTGGGCATATCACACAATATAAATTCTTAAATAAAATTGAGCATTTATGTTGACTTTAAATTAATATGAAATATTGCACTGAAAAAATAGTTACATGCAGGGCCGGTTTTGTTGACATTCTTAATGGTGTAATTATTTTTGATTTACAAAAGGTTGCAAATACATCGCATAACGCAAAGAAATGGTGAAAATCGTATTGATGGAACCATAGATGAAAATACTTTTTTGTTTATACTTAAAACTATGAGTATTAGTATATTCTAAGTATATTGTAAGTATGGAATATTTAACTTTTGTCAATATCTAATCTTAATACATTTACAGTTTTCTCCTGATTAAGTCACAAAATTGTCACTAAATATTGAGATATACAACAAATAAATTAGTGTAAGAAACCATTTCTGCGTATATTGAAGAGTCACCGGATGGCAATTACTTACTCCACCCGTTCTTAAAATTCCATATAAGATGAGATTGTAAAAACTTTGATAGAGAGACAAGTAAAGCATTTCAAGCTGTTCAATATCCAAAACTCTTTCAAATGGCGGAATTTTAGTAGCAATCCTCGTACCTACTTTCCTTATAATATTTTTTATTTGTAATTCCCATTTAAAGCTCCTAAATATTTTATATACTCCGATCCATATATTTGATCTTTGTTATTTATATTTAATGAATTAAAAATTGGCAGACAACTTTTGTGTACTTATAGCAAAAAAGTAGATGAGTATTTAGTTTTTTCATAATTTAATGTAAGTTTGTTTATGTGCAACAATGTTTTTACAATTTTGAAGTCTTGTTATGTTGTAATTTTACGATTTTCCCAATTATAGGTCTAGTTATTTTCCTAAACTTTTTAGTTTAAACATTTTAGTAATTTCTTTGTTTCGTTTAAATCAAACATTCTTGTGTATAAAACCCTCTATATATTTTTATTTCCTAAAAATACTATATTCGTATTGTTGTCGTCGAGCGCGCTGACACCTGGCCACCATCTATTGATTTTTTGACCTGAGCCTTCGGAGACTTGATTCTTTCAATAAAAGAAATAGCACTGACACCAAATTTAATGTTTAATGTTGCTCCACTTAACGATAGCAAGTACGGACACGTCGGCGTCGGCTTACTGTTCAAAAGTCAAACTAATACTATTATATAATAACTAATAATAATAATTACAAAGCAATAGTAATTATATGTTATTATTCTTAGGAAATCTAAATAAACTTATTTATTTTCCTGTTACAGATGAACATCCGCGAAACGCACAAACACAACCAGACATATTAAATATAAATTAAACTTTTAACTATAAACTGTAACTATAAACTTATTTATTTAACTTATAGATTTTAACTATAACTATAAACTTTTAACTATAAATAAATTATATAAATGGTCAAATACACTTGTTGAGTCGAGTATTTACCACATACGCCTACGGACTATCGTAAAACAACCAGAATTAAAGAATAAGCACGTGTTGAGGACAGTAAAGCAACCAGAATCGGACATGCGTATACAAAAATGGTACTCGTTTTAGCACGGTTGTGTCGCTTCTCTGTATTCGTAGTTCTCTGCTCATATCACAATACATGGAGGGTATATACTCTGCCTCATATTTCCCATCTCATTGATAACTAGTAATAGTCTAGGCGGGATCTGTATTGGATTGGAAATTTTCGAAGGGAAGCTATTTTTTATAGCTAGCTAGCTTTAGCTAGCCTTAGCCCTAGCTAAGGGAAAATTTCTCATTTTTTTTGCACCTATTTTCATTTATAATTCGGAAAATATTGATCCTAGAGAAAAAATTATAGGTAGTTAAAAGTTTCGTTATTAAATTTTACACAATATTTTGTTAGCTAGAAATTGAAAATTTATTGGTTATTGTTGAAAAAAAGCAATAATTGAAAAAAAAAAGTACAAAAAAATGAAGTTAATCCTTTAAATGTTTTCGACTTTCTAAACTTGACTTACAAGTTCCATATTCCGCCTAGAAAAACTTTTTAATATGATTAAAACGTGTGCTAAATTTTGTTAAGGTCGGTCGGATAGGTTTTGCATAATAATTTTGCAATCCAGCCTACTGGAAAAAAATCGCAAATTTTCAAATTCATAGTAGGCCCTAAATAAGGCCCTCAGATAGTTGCAATTTTTTTTACATATAAAGGAAGTCTCAAACTTTCAAACGCTTTTCGTAAAATTTAAATCGGTTTACTAGGAGACCCTAGAAATTTTTTTAAAGCTATAAACATTTTTTAGGCTTATAAACAAATTAAATAACTTTACGAGCTTTAAACATATCAATTTCAAAATGTATACACTTAAAGAACATTAAAAGGAGCTTCTTTTAAAAAACAAAAAGATACATTCGGCTTACTGGTTGCCGAGATATTGAAGGTCAAAGTTGGTATACATTTGCCGTGTAACCATAGAAATAAATTGTTACTTTTAGTAAACAAATATGTATTTATAAATTGTTAATAAATAATTTAAATTGTTAAAACATAGGCGAATGAAACAAAAATTTTCTTTTCATAAATAATAATATAATAGCGTTGAACATAATATGATTAATATGATCAAACCACTGAAAAACGTGTTCAGCACGCCTTGAATACAGCCTTACAGATTTGGAGCACTTTACTATTTGTTTTATTCAAAACCCGAAATTAAACAAACTGATGGTCCCCTACTTGATACTCGCCGATTCACATTTGAAGTGAATGTCCCTCATCACCACCTCTCATGCATTCCGAGCGACATATTACGCGAAAACGGTTTTTTATTTGTCTTTTTTATGGATATTGCCATAAAAGCGCATTACATATAAAACTTTTCATATAAAAAGTATTTGACAAGACGAGGGTATTTGTTTAAAAACGAGCCCTCTATCACTTATGGTTACACGGCAAATGTATGCCAACTTTGACCTTCAATATCTCGGCAACCAGTAAGCCGAATGTATCTTTTTGTTTTTTAAAAGAAGCTCCTTTTAATGTTCTTTAAGTGTATACATTTTGAAATTGATATGTTTAAAGCTCGTAAAGTTATTTAATTTGTTTATAAGCCTAAAAAATGTTTATAACTTTAAAAAAATTTCTAGGGTCTCCTAGTAAACCGATTTAAATTTTACAAAAAGCGTTTGAAAGTTTGAGACTTCCTTTATATGTAAAAAAATTGCAACTATCTGAGGGCCTTATTTAGGCCTACTATGAATTTGAAAATTTGCGATTTTTTTCCAGTAGGCTGGATTGCAAAATTATTATGCAAAACCTATCCGACCGATCTTAACAAAATTTAGCACACGTTTTAAACATATTAAAAAGTTTTTCTAGGCGTAATATGGAACTTGTAAGTCAAGTTTAGAAAGTCGAAAACATTTAAAGGATTAACTTCATTTTTTTGTACTTTTTTTTCCAATTATTGCTTTTTTTTTCAACAATAACCATTAAATTTTCAATTTCTAGCTAACAAAATATTGTGTAAAATTTAATAACGAAACTTTTGCCTCATTCTCAGCCTGAGAATGAGGCAAATATTGTAAGCCTCAAAACCGATCGCTTCTGTAACACTTTGAAAGTAGATATTAGATTGTGGGTATTGACCTTTTTAATACATCTGTTTAATTATGGACTCACACTTGCAACCCTTTTATCATCATAATAGATAATTATTATAATAGAGTCAAAATAATATCAAATTTACTTACTTAAGTTGATAGAAAACAGCAAACACCTTAAAAATGTTCACAGTTTTAAGTTTATTTAAATAACACTATAATTATAAACCAACACTATAATTATACCAATTATTACATAGAGCTATTAAAAGTAAAAATTATATTTATATAATTAAATTTAAGAGACATAAATGTGATTCGTAAGGATTGCTGAATCCATATCTGTTAAAAACTGCAGATTAAGCATTTTTGTTTAGAGTTGTAGATTATCGTTACTTGTAAGTTTCTACTTGTTACTTTAGATACGCTTTTGTATATTATAATCAGTTACAATATAAGTGATTTTGTAACAAGTAGACCTCTTTAGCATTTCTAGATATTGTGAATGAATTGATCACGTTTTAATAGTATTTATTTTCTACTTTTCTGTTAGGCGAATATAGTATAGTGTGCGGGTAGCCTAGGGTGACAAAAGTTCTTCGTAGATTAAAAATCTCCCAGTTTTTTTTAGAAATCTATTTGTTGTTATAACCGGCCGTAGTGCAGCCAAATCGGCATATTGTACTTCTTCCATTCGTGTAAACCTCTAGCACAGATTTTACTGTTAACGACTAGGGGAAGGACGGGGAAGATGACGCAGCGTCTAAGATGACGCTCTGTATTTTATCAAGTACTTCACTAAATTCAGTTTTTATCCGTGGCGCCCTCCTTTAAGAAACTACTATTACTTTAAAACTTCATCGGTCAGCTTTCGTACTGTTTAGTCTCTGTGAGGCAGAGTAACGCGATATACACGTTGATTTCTTGTTATTTTTGACACTGCGAATATTAATGGTAAGTTGTTTAAAAATGGTTCCATTGGATTTTCTTCATATTTATGGGAGTAGGTGATATTTATTTTCAGTTAGCGAGGATTTATCTGTTAAATATTTGATGATGGATAATTTTGATAACCATTTTTTGTAGGTTATGCTGAACAGGCTAAGTTGACGCAGACTGCGTCATCTTTGCTGTTATAGTGCGTCATCTTTGCCTTTTCAGTTCATTACCTTAAATAACAATGGAGTATAGAATATTTATTATTTAGTGTCTATTTTGCATTTTGAGGCATCTTTTTCTTTTTTAGAAATGGGAAAATATATACGAAAAACACAGAGAGGATCATTTTCTGCAGCAGCTCTTAATGCAGCATTGAATGCAATTTGTAGAGATGGTCGTAAAATTCGGGAA